AACTCTGGCCAGTAGAATTCAACAACATATCAGAAAGATTATCCACCCATACCCAGTGGGATTTATTCTTGGTATGCAGGGATGGTTCAATGTTCAAAAAATCAATCAATGTGATATCCACATTAACAAACTGCAGAGGAAAACCATATTATTATCCCAATAGATGCAGGGAAAGCATTTGATAAAATACAACACTCTTTTATGATGAAAATTCTAAACAAATTGTGTATAGAAGGAACATTCCTCAACACAATCAAAGCAATTTATGAAGAACTCACGGCCAGCATGAAAAATGTTCAAGATCATTAGCCATCACGGAAATGCAAATCCAAACCACAATGAGGATTTACCTCACCCTGTTAGAATGGTTTACATACAGAAATCAACTAACAACAGATGCTGGTGAGGATTTGTGGGAAAAGGCACACTAATCCACTCTTGCTGTGAATTCAAACTGGTAGAGTCACTATAGAAGACAGTTTGGAGTCTTCTCAGAAACCAGAATATAGCCATACCACATGACCCAGCCATCACACTCCTCAACATTAACACAAGTGAAATTAAATTGGCAAATAAAAGAGCTATCTGGACCTCAATGTTTATTGCAGCTCAATTCACAATAGCTAAGACATGGAATGTGCCTAAATGCCAATCGATGGAAGACTGGATAAAGAACTATGGATATGTATTCTATAGAATTGTACACAATAGTAAAAAAAAATGAAATGCAGTCATTTGCAACAAAACAGAGGAATCTGGAAAAATCATGCTGAGTAAAATAAACCAGTCCCAAAGGGACAAATATCATATGCTCTCCCTGATCTGTGACAACTAACTGATCACCTAAATGGAAACCTGTAGAAATGAAACTGACACTATGATAAGCAATGACTTGATCTACACTTGTTCTGACTTTCAAGGAACAGCTTACTATTTTATTCCTCTTAGTATTTTTTTTCTATTCAATGCATTCTTTGAACTCTTTAATTAACACAGAAATTTTCTTAGGGGTATAAATCCAACTGTAGTGATATCCCTGTTAAAAATAGGGGTGGAGTAAGAGAGATAGGAGATGTACATATTGCCATATGCACCCTTGGATTTACCCCTAATGGTAAATCTAAAAAGGTGCCATGGGGCTCCAAATCCATTAAGTTGGCAGATACCAATGCCATCTTACTAGGTAAATTGATCAGTTGAAGTTCATAACTGATCATAAAGGTAGGATTAAGTGTCAAAGGAATCACATAAACAAGTCCAGTGTCTGGTAATAATAACTGATAGAATTAAAAAGGAGAGAACGATCCCAACATGGGAACAGGATACACAGCAGACTCATATGCCCTTAACAGTACTTTGGCCTCAGAATCAGCCCTTAAGGCATTTGGATTTGGCTGAAAATTCCATGATTGCAACAGAGGCATGGAAATCCAAGATACTGTGGTAAAAAAAGGCCTAAATGAAGGATCTCTGTGAGTGAGATCCATTGAAAGAAGCAGCCAACAAAGAAGGAAGTACCTTTTTATGAAGGGAGGAGAGAACTTCCACTTCGATTATGACCTTGTCTAAATAGGTTAGGTGAGAGTTTGTGAACTCAAGAGGCTTCCATAGCCATGGAAGCTCATGACAAGAGCCTCAGATGATTACTGATGTCATAAATAAGTGTGTCAATTGCTAAATCCACAACAGGAGTCACTGTGAACTTGCACCCCTTGTAGGACCTCTGTCTTTAATGTGTTATACTTTGAGAATTATCACTAAACTGAATCTTCAAAATTTACTTTACAAAAAAAAAAACACTTTATAGTTTGTGTGTCTGTGTGGGTGCAAACTGTGAAATTTTACTTAGTATAGAGTTGATCTTCTGTATAGAAACATAATTACAAATGAATCTTAATGATGAATAGGATGAGAGAGGGAGTAAGAGATGGGATGGTTTGTGGGAGGGTGGGTGGTTATGGGAGGAAGAATGTAATACTTTATCCATTTTAGTATTTTTTTTGTTCTAGTACTATGGTTGAACTCTGTAATTAACACACAATTATTCTTAGGTGTTTAAATTTTAAGTGAAAAGTGATCCCTGTTAGGAATCTGGAAAGCATTATGCTGAGTGAAATAAGCAAGTCCCAAAGGGACAAATACCATAGGTTCTCCCTGATCCGAGACAACTAACTGAGCACCAAAAAGGAAACCTGTTAAAGTGAAATGAACACAATGAAAAATGATGGCTTGATCAGCCCTTGCCCTGACTGTTGATGAACAAATTAATACGTTATCCCTCTTAGTATTTTTTGTTTGTTCTACTTAATACTTTTTGTTGAATAATGTAATCAATACACAGTTATTCTTAAGTGTTTAAACTTAACTGAAAAGTGATCGCTGTTAAATATGAGTGGGAATAAGAGAGGGAAGAGATGTGCAATTCGGGACATGCTCAAGCTGACTTACCTGAAACGGTAGAGTTAGAAACATACCAGGGGATTCCAATTCAATCCCATCAAGGTGGCATGTACCAATGACATCTCACTAGTCCCTCTGATCAATTTCTGTTCACAATTGATCAGAATGATAGGACTAAGAGCCAAAGGGAGCACACAAAGAACACTGGTGTCTGCAAATACTAGCTGATCGAATAAAAAAGGAGAGAATGATCCAACATGGGAAGTGAGATACACAGCAGACCCATAGAATGGCAGATGTCCTAACAGCACTCTGGCCTCAGAATCAGCCCTTAAGGCACACAGATCTGGATGAAAAGCCCATGAAAGTATTATAGGCTTGGAAAGCCAAAACACTCTGGCAAAAAAAATAGGGACCTAAATGAAAGATCTCCATGAGTGAGATCACAGTGAACAGAACGGGTCATCAATGAAGGAGGTACCTTTCTCTGAAGGGAGGAGAGAACTTCTACTTTGACTACAACCTTGTCTAAATAAGATAAGAGTCAGTGAACTCAAAAGGCTTCCATAGCCTTGCCGACTCATGACAAGAGCCTAGGGTGATTACTGATGCCATAAACAAGAGTGTCAATTGTTAAGTCAACAACAGGAGTCACTGTGCACTTACTCCTCATGTAGGATCTCTGTCCTTAATGTGCTGTACATTGTGATTTAATGCTGTAACTAGTACTCAAACAGTATTTTCACCTTGTGTTTCTATATGGGTGCAAACTGTTGAAATCTTTACTTCATATATGCTAAACTGATCTTCTGTATATAAGAGAATTGAAAATGAATCTTGATGTGAATGGAAGGGGGGAGGGAGAGGCAAGGGAGGGTTGTGGGTGGGAGGGAAGTTATGGGGGGTAGCCATTGTAATCCATAAGCTATACTTTGGAAATTTGTATTCATTAAATAAAAGTTAAAAAAATTTGCACAATTGTTTCATAACATACATTTTCCATGAATTTTTGAAGACTTATTGCATGGAGTGCATCCTTTCCATTCCTAATCTTTTTTAGTGAATCATTTGCATTCAGATTGACTCTACTTTTAGTTTCTACACATTAGAGAGAACAGGAGATATTTGCTCTCTGATTTAGATTTACTTTTCTTGTTTAACTGAACAGACTATAAGTTTCATCATTGTACTGGTAATAAATCAAACTCATCAAGACAATGAACTTTCATTTTTATGTAAGTCAGTGAATTCTGTGTGTGTTGTGGCTATACTTCATCTCAATTTGTATGAGCCTCTATTAAAAACCTCACTAGTAGCATCAGAGCAGTGATTAGGCAATGGAAAATGTGTTTTGCTTAAAATACTAGGCATCTCATTTATAGCAGTATGAGTTTAGAAAACTTCTGAGTGGAATACTAGAGTTCTCTTATTGCCCTCTTGTCCCATCCTTATTAGATTTACTTCATTAGCAATACATCACACTGATATGCAAGCACAAATGATTAGTCAGTGTTGATCATCACTATTACCTACAGGACATACTATCCATTGTGTTCACTCTCGTGTTGTGTAGTATGTGGGTTTTGCAAAAGATTAAAGGTATGTAGCTGCCCTGTCCATCATAATAGTTCTGAAAGTCACTTGCATTCAAGCAGTACAGTTGTCTACAGCCATCACCCTGCCCTTGGTGTTTGTGGTGGTGGGAATAAAGAGGTGACTTCTGGCTGCTGTTGTCTGTCTTATGGTAAAAAGCAAAGAGTACTCAAATAGTTACTAGTTCTCATGAGAGCATCAACCAAGGTTGAAGGTGCAAAAACAGATCCACATGAGATGACCGTGGTTAACACTAGTGGAAGGGTTTCTTGTTTTACACCTGAAGATGTGGTGATTTGACATACAGAATAGGAACTTCTGAATTCAGGGTGATTACTGGTTCCACAGTGATTGAAAACCACATGTCCTAGTGGGTATCTCTCTACACATGATTTGTTTGGGGTCTATGTGGCATCAAGACCATATGTGCCTGCCCAAAAATGCAGTGTGGGAGGCTGCCCTGTGGCTCTTTATCTTTAAAGTGTGTGACACAGGAGTTTTCTGGTCTGAAACCTTTATGAGAACCTTGCCTGATGCTGCCCTTCATGCCATCTGATGTAATCCAGGTACATAATTGCCAAAAGTTCATGGAGAGGTTTATTGACAAAGCCCATTGACCAAATGTAACTGAGAGGAGTTTCTCCCTTGAGTCTTTTATCCATGAACTTGGAGGAAATCCTGGCACCTGGGGTGAAGAGGATGAATCACAAACATGTTTTCTTTCCTGTATTTTGCACCTGGCAGAAGACCTGAGCTGCAAAGCCTGAGGGCAGAAAGGGTTTACGATTCCCCCATAGACAAATGGACAGCTGGTGGAAAAAGTCAGATGGAGCAGTATTAAAGTGGCTTGATTCAAGGAATCACACACACACACACACACACACACACACACACATGCTATATGTATGCACCTGCATAACCCTGCACGTTCCACTGTGGTTGTGTCCTAGGGTTTTTCCCAGACTCTGAAAATGTTTCCTTGGATTTTTCTGTTGCTTTTTCTGCAGCTATATCTCCTTGTGATTTGTCAGGATGGTCCCAAGTGCTATTCCCAGATGGAACGGAGTTTTTACAAGGATGGAGACATTGAGATTGCTTCCTTTTTCCCCATTTACATACACCTCGTTAACAGAATCATGAATATTTTCCAAAGAGATCTCACATTCATCCGGTAAGTTCCCTTTGCCATAATCATTTTCCCTTGATTTACATAATAGCTACTTGTTATTGGGTCTGCAGACCCAATAGACATATGTGGTTTCCTACTCTTTGCATTCTCTGTCTCTCCTAAAAAGTGCTGATAATTAATTTGGAGCATGAGGTGACATTTTCTTTCTTGTGTTCATGCACGGTTCAGGGAAAGGTTTTCTAATCGTAGGAAGGAGGAGAGTCAGGTTGGGATCTTCCTGTGCTTCCCTGTCCATGTTCACCTACTCAGGTGCCTGTTGTGCCTCAGTATTAGATTCTTACGGAACCCATGCACTGTAATGAATGAACTGAGTTACATGAGCTCTTCCACATGTGCACACAATCTTTTCTACTATGTACTAGATTTGGGGCCATGAGAACACTTCATGTCTTCTACATTGTAAAGAAGAAAAGATATTCAAGAGAGTAAGTTTTCACTAGTTAAAAGCAATCTTGGCTCAACACCTTTGCACAAATATAATAATTATATTTTAATGATGAACATAAGAAATTTAATGTTTTGGAATCTACAACCCTCATGATGTGTCCCTGATTCTTTCCTTTTCTGGGAAAAATACATTTCAGAAGGGGGATTATTCTGCTTCCACCCCTCTTTAAGATACATTTTTAGAGCTAAATATAAATGTTTTATATATATATACATATATACATATATAAACATTTATATTCATATATAATAATATTATATATCAATATATATATATAAATACATATAATTATTTATATTTATTTTTATATAAATAAATATATTTTATATAAATAAAATATATTTTATATAAATAAATATATTTATTTATTTATATATAATATATATATATATATATATATATATAAAGCGACTTCCAGTCCACCCAGGGAGTGTTTCCAGCTTCTCCAAAGTGCTCCTCCCCTTTCACTGTTTCCCTTCTTTCAAGCTCTGAATCTGATTTCATTTTTCTGGCTTGGGATGGTCGTTGATCGGTACATTTGATGGGGAAGAGATTTTTCTCGATAAACTCCAAGATTCCATCTACCATTCTCCATGCTTTGATGTCATCCAAATTTCTGATCACATAGCCTTCAGCTGAGTTATTCTCTTTCCCCATTGCATCCTGCAGCCTTATGATCATATGACTCTTATTTCAAGAAGTATTTGTGATGTGACATTATGGTGTAAAAGCAGATCTTATTTTATAGAATCTTTTAGGCTGGGTGACCCAGATAAAGATACTAGCAGCTTTGGTTCTGGTGAGGACAACTGTCCTGCAAATACGATGCTCTTGACACTCTGTCCTAAGCAAATGCACATATAAAGATTAGAACACTTGAATTTTTGACCATGACCAATCCATCTGTCAGAGTAATTACAGTAGAATTGATGATAATCTGGATTGCAGGCTTTTCCCTTAAAGATCCTTGTGCCTTTCGTGCAGGTTTCAATCCAAAAACTACCAATATGTTCTGGCCTTGGTTTTTGCTATTGAGGAGATCAACAAGAACACCCATCTTTTACCCAACATGACATTGGGATTTGATCTCTATAATGTCATGCACAGTGACATGATGGTGATGGAGAATCCCTTCATCTGGCTTGCGGGAATGGAAAAGCATGTTCCCAATTACATGTGTAGGAAACAGAGCAAGTCTGTAGCCATAATATCAGGAACAAGCATTGCTGTCCAAATGGGGACACTGCTGGAACTCTACAAAATTCCACAGGTGAGTGTGTAAGGGAGAGGGAAAAAGCACATCACCTTAGGTGCCTTACTTATACCCAAAAGTTTAAGTGACAGAGACCTTATATATTTCACACAGTGCATATTCTAAGGAGAATGTGTGCAGAGATTTGGTGAAGTAGCCACATTTGTTCTAAAGTGATGTGGGTGAGTGATAATGAGAAATGTTTTCCTCAACCTGTGAGTCTAATGACTCATGAACTAGGAAGTTTATATGTAATGGGAGATGAGAAAAATGAAATATTCTAAAATCTTCTGATCCATCCATAATTTGTTTAATTTCTTCAGGAATAAGATTATTCACTATAGCAATAACCTTACACAGATTTCTTGCCTTTTCCCTTAGCTGACTCTTGGATCTTTTGAACCTCTTCTGAGTGACAGTGGTCAGTTTCCTTCCCTCTATCAGATGGCCCCCAAAGACACTTCTCTGGCCCGTGGCATGGTCTCCTTGATGCTTCATTCAGCTGGACCTGGGTGGGTTTGGCCATCTCAGACCTCCCAAAAGGTATTCAGTTTATGTCCCATTTGAAAGTCGAGATGCAGAAGAATGGCATCTGTGTAGACTTTGTGGAATTCATCCCAGTCACTGAGGAGTCACGTATTTCACTCCAGAATAGGTTTCATATCCAGATCCTAAAATCATCAGCAAATGTGGTGATTCTTTTCTGTGACACTGATTCACTCATAGGTGTCAGCTTTCCAACATGGCAACGTGTAATGACATGGAAAGTCTGGGTCACCACCTCACAATGGGATTTTGCCAGCGATGAGCATCATATCCTGCTCCACTCATTCCATGGGACTCTCATTTTTTCACACCACCATAGTGAGATCTCTGGTTTCAAAAACTTTCTTCAGACAGTTAACCCTTCCAAATACCCAGAAGATTTTTACCTCTCTACATTCTGGTCACTATATTTTGATTGCTCAGTTACTGGGCCATCCTGCAAAACCTTGAGAAACTGTCCACTGAATGCCTCCTTGGAATCCTTGCCTTTTCATCATTTTGATATGAGCATGAGTGATGGGAGTTACAACATATACAATGCTGTGTATGCTGTGGCCCACAGTGTACATGAGATGCTTCTACAAGAGTTAGAAATGCAGCCAGTGAGCAATGGGGAAAAGGTGGAATTTTCACCTTGGCAGGTAATTTGGTTTCCTTTGCATGACTTGTATTATTGGAATGATCCCCTTAAAAGCTTCTGCGCGTTTTCAAACCAATAACTTGGGATCCTTCCTTCAATCACAAGATATAAATGAGCCTTTTTTTGTAATTTGTAATTAGAAACAGGGTTCCATTTTCAAGTGGGAAGGTAACTTGGATAAGCATCAGTGCTGTGTCTTAAAAATTACTCTCCCATCCTGACAATTTAATTATGACTTGTGAATACCTAGACTGTGTCATTCCATTTTCAGTCTCAGAAGTAAAAAATTATTACTTTTTAGTGTCAAATGTTGCTGAGTATGCTCATCCACAATGTACATAAGACATCTCATTAAATTGCATACTATTTTATTCTGGTAACTGCATTACAGATGGTTGTCCTAGGGACACTGGGAAAATAAGTGAGTGTTGGTAACCTGGACTCCACATTTTGAAACTGTCATAATTTCACAGTTAGATATTTTTGATTGCCCTTGTTTTTGGATGAAAGTGAGTGAAATCACACTTATTTTGATGTAGTCCTCATCAGGTTTTTAGTTTTAATTCATTGGGTGGCTATAAAAAGTTCTCTTTGTTTATTTCTGATTACAGACAAAAGACTTTCTCTAACCTGGGTTTGATGTGTTATTGCTTGGGCAGTCTTCATGAGAATATGATGCATTTTTTCAGTTGCACCCGTTTCTCAAGAACCTCCAACTTACCAATCCTGCGGGTGACCTAGTGAATTTGAATCACATGGGGAATTTGGAAGCTGAATATGATGTTCTCAACTTTCTGAATTTTCCATATGGTGTTGGACGTAAGGTTAAAGTAGGACAGTTTTCCCCGTATGTTCCACAGAGCCAACAGTTGTCTCTCTCTGAGAATTTGATAGAGTGGGCCACAGGAATTACAGAGGTAAGTTGGTCTGATCATAAGATTCACACTATACATTGTTACCCTCCAATTTATATGGGGATTTGTGCAACTTGGCTTATTATAACATACTTAGAGACATTAAACCACACCCCTCCCAATCTAAATACTTTGTTATGTTTTTAGTGTCTGAGGATGGACAGTACACACACTTGTTCCTCCACATGTTTTGAATCTTTTTATTTAGGAAATAAACTTGCATGCCATGATTGTGTCAGAAATAGGTGTTTACAGTTTCAGTGAATAGGTTGTGCAGGACTTGAAAACCCTCTACTTGGAACAGAAGTAACATTCCCAATATGACCAATATTCATTTGATTTTTCTCAGACTCCACGTTCAGTATGCAGTGAGAGTTGCAGCCCTGGATTCAGGAAAGCCCCTCTGGAGGGGAAGCCTACCTGTTGTTTTGATTGCACACCTTGTTCTGAGAATGAGATTTCCAATCAGACAGGTATGTCAGTGCCAGCTTCATGGAGAAATTAACACCTGTTTCTTAGAATTTCCTCTTCTCCATGAAAAGAAAAGGATGTGGATTATGACTGCTGAGAAGATTCTTTTCACCTTCTGGTGGAAGTTAAACCTTATATTCAGTAATAATCCCTAAAAGGATAAAACTTTGCACACTATACTTTACCACATGTAGTATTTGCAAAATCATTTAGGTAAATTCATGTCTGCATTCCTTGTGCGTGTTTAGATAAAATGCTTTCACCAAATTCAAATATAGCATGCTTGCAGTGAGAAAGCACAACTCTCATCAAACTGTGTGTAAGACGAAAAGCTGTATTAGAAATTATATAGTATATCATGCTAAGGATAACACTCATCAGATATCATAAATGAGCTAAGCTTAGCCTTTGAGAAAAATCATTGCTTATGAAAATATATATCTTCAGGAACATTCCTATGCATACACACATACACTCATGAGTAAAATTTATTTCAAAATAATACATGCTGACATGCATGGTAAAAAGAATGCATAGCAAGGTAGGTTAATGACATCAAATTCAACACAAACCCTTGAAGATAGGATGTGGACATTATAAGGAAACTGAGGTAAATAAAAATTGGAAGAGTTTATAATTGGTGCTCATAAAACAAGCAAAATTTATGAACCTCAGAAAGTTGGAACAGTACTAAAAACAAGATTACAATGTCTGTGTGTGTTACACAAAGAGAGCTGAAGAGATCTCTGCACAGATATAAAAATAGTAATACTAGAACTTTTTAATCATTTAATGGTGATAGTTTGAATAGAGAAGAAATTCAGAAATTTCCAGATATAAAAATGATGAAACACAATGAGAAATTTTTTAAAAATCCAAGTATCTTCATGATTATTAAAATAATGCTTAATACTTTTATTGTGATAAACACTTTCACATAGGAAAGGAACTCTTTCTCAACTCCTGTACAGAATAGGAAAAATGGAAAAATTCTGTTTCTTCTACAGAAACATCTTAACTAGTTTGGTCAAATACTGCCAGATATTTCAGTAAAATGAAATTGTAAGACACTGTTGTTGAAATAAATCACACATTTGAAATTTTAAACAACATAAATCCAACAGTATTTTTAAATAGGTTACATCATGCCCAATGCCTTGCATACAATAATAGTAATAAGAATAGCATAACTGAACAAAAACATTTAACAAATCTAAGTGATCTGAGAATTATACAAGAAGAACAAGACAACTCAAAAATGCCAAAAAGAAGGATCAGTTTTCAATCCTAAAGTGTGCTTTAGAATGCTAAAATCATGGAAGTTATGGCTGAAGATTGGATACAAAGTTGAAGAAAGAGTGCAACTTATGCAGGAAATTACCAGGATGGTCTGCTTTGTGCATATAATAGAAATGAAAGCCATGCAACTTATTATAAAGGAAGATATAAAAGTGGAATCATTTTCAACTAATCTTGGGATGGTGTAATACAATCAAAAATCAGTAACTGAGTTAAGTAGTGCTGGAATACTAGATTAAATACAAAAAAAAAACAGTTATTTTTGCTTACCAATTCTGGAAAACAAAGCTCTGAAAATGAGCACATGTAATATCTCAAAAGTAGGAACTATCCAAAGATAAGACCACCTAAATTTTGGAAGACAACTTCAAGTTGCAATATCTGACATCGATGGAGCAATGTATAGAAGGGGATACTGACAGAGAAAGAAAATTCATGTTCAAGGATAAAAAGGCAGCAAAGTGGAACTATGCCAGTAGGGTTCAAGGTGATCTCCAGACTGACTTTGATTACAGGCAGCATCCCAGTGTGTTCCTTGATGGAAATCTGCTCAAGGGTGGCATCTTATCCAGAAGGTATCAAGTGTACAACTCTTCTGCATTTCTCTAGAACTTGACCATCTGCTTTCTAATGGTGATCTCTCAATCAGTGCTTGCCCATAGAATGGCTATCCAGATCCTACCTTAGAGAGATGTGGTTTAGTGAGATAACAGGGTACTTTCTGTGCACCCCAAATTCACACAGTAAATATCCCAGTGCATGAAATTAAGAGTGGGAACCTGGGCCAGTACTGTGACTAGGAGTTGAAGCCTCTGGCTGGAATGCCAGCATCCCAGTTGGGCTGCAGTTCCAGTCTCAGCTGCTTCACTTCCAATGCAGCTCTCTGCTGATGCTTAGGAAAGCAGCAGAAGACAGCCCAAGTTTCTGAGTCCACACCATGTAGGAGACCCAGAAGAAGCTCCCATTTATTGCCTTAAGACAGCCTAGTTCCAGCTATTACCATCATTTGGGGTGTGAATCACTGGTGGAAGATTTCTTCCTTTCTCTTTTTCCCTCTTTCTCTTTCCCCTTCTCTTTTTCCCTGTCCTCCTGTCCTTCTCTCTCTCCCTCTCACTCTCCCTCTCTCCTACTTCTCCTCCTCCTTCCAAAACTCTGCCTTTCATTAAATTATAAATAATAATAAATAATAAATAAACACTCCTTAGAAATAAAACTGGGATCCTTTGGTCATTGAGAGGGCCATGAGAATCCAGAGGGAATAACACCATTAAAACAAGGGCTTACTGCAGGCATGGAAAGCCAAGACTCTGGCAAAAAATAGC